AAAAAAAAAAAAAAAAAAAAAAGGGAAAAAGGGAAGAAGAAAGTAAAAAGGGAGGGAGGAAATACGAAAAAGGAAAAGCGGAAGATAAAGGAGGAAAAAGGAAAAAGAGGGATGTATGGCTATCGAACTCGAGGTGGAGAGCTCGGAAAAAGGCGGTGAGGCGGTGTGCTACGGATGAAAATCAGAGGCGAAAAACCCTAAGATTCTTGAGGAGGCGGCAGAGGAGCAGCAGGATTCCTGGAATGGAAAAGGAAGATAGGCAGAGACGGAGAACATAAATAATCGCAGAGGGACACCAAGCTGGGAAGAGGGAGAGCTGAAGCCAGGAAAGGAAAAGAAGACGTATACTGTGTTGAGGAAGTGAAATAAAGGCTGATAGCAGGTATGTTGCACTTCTCAGGTTTCCTCATTATGAATGCTCTACTCTAGTTGATCTTGTGCTAATAATACCTTCAAGAATCAAATGTTGACATCCTTCAGATTAGCTTTCTAATCTTTTACTGTTCGTGTTTGTCTTCCTTGTTTGATTTTCATTTTGCATGTGTAATTGATTTACTGCATCAGAATTTCCTGTTGCATTTTAATGCCATTTGAGGATCAAAATTGTTGATTAACACGTTGTTTGTGGTGTCATGGGACTTAAGATTTTGGGTTAAAATAAGTTTGCATTTTAAAGGATTAATCTTTGTTGTTGTTGTTTCCAAAGGTTATGAGCTTCTACCCTTTCCATGGATCTGCCATAAAGGAAAATAAACTGGTTTTTCCTTGGATGAAAATAGTAGTTCTTTCCCCTTTTTAAAGAGATTACAGTTTCAACTTCACATGCTAAGTATCCTTTATTTTCCATGACTCCATTGCAAAATGGACTTTTTTGTTGTGCATTGTTTGATGATGTTGCTGGTAGGTGTGACCTGGTTCTGTTTTCGATGTAGTTCCTAGGCAGTTTCCACTGTCTTGCTTCTCTAATGTATATACCATTTTCCTTCTTTTCTCTTGTTTTCTACAAAAAGGAACCATGGTTGGTGAGAACAACTCCAGTTGCAAAGCAAAAGACAGAAAAAAGAAGAAGAAACGTGGGGGTAGCAAGAAGAAGATGACAGCTGAGCAGTTTTCTGCTTTCAAATCAGTGAGTGAATGGGTTTATTTGGATCAGCAGCATTTAAGTGCTGCTTCTTGTGTTGTGGATGACTTTGGGGTGCAGAAGAGTCAAGGGAGAGGAGGGGAGAAGTTGGTCTTTGAATTGCACTGTCATTCCAAGCACAGTGATGGTTTCTTGTCCCCGTCAAAGCTTGTGGAGAGAGCACACATGAATGGGGTGAGTGCAGATTGCATTGGAGTGGCTCTATTATTTTGAGTTGTTTTAATGGATAGCTTTAACTAAATGGGTTTGCTTGCTGGATATGCGCTTTTTTACATATATATTTTTTTAATTCCTGCTTGAAATGGGATGAGTTAACTTGCTGTTTTTTTTTTTCCAATGTTTTTGTGCATAGCTGTCTCAAGAGGAAGTATAGAAAATTGATTTATAAATGAATGGCATAAATGATTTCTTTAAGTTTTGCTTGGACAAAATGGTGTTAGCTTGTTAATATTGGTTTTATAGTGTAGATTTTTGCATGAATGTCCAACAAGAAGGCTGCAAGTATCTCAAGGATTTGCTAAACCCGACCATGCTGTTTTCTTCATGGGTCATTACAAATTGTCCCCATGATAAAGTTTTGATAAGCCCCATGATTTACTTTTCTTTGAACTGAGTTTCTGTTCAACTCAGGGATCAAGCTTAATCCAGCTTGTCCTTGGGGATTATTTAGCATGAGTAGTTGACTAATAGTATCAAAAGAATATTTTCCACTAGCATATTGTTAATAGTTTAATGGTTAATGTGGTTACAAACAAAAGTAGTAGAATCAGAATCTTGTTCCTTTGTTTATGTTGCAGGCTTTATAACTTTAATATTTCTTTGAACTTTCTCTTGCCTATGTTTTAATGGGTAAACTAATGAAAATGTGGTTTCTTTTTCACTTCCACACATGAGCTTGAGTTACTAAAGCCACTTAAAGCAACAACTGAAATGAGAAAATGATTTTGGTCTATTAGGTAGAATGTATTAGGATGGAATGTGTAATACAACACTTGCCATTCTCCAAAAATGTAATAGTGGGAATGGGGCTCTCATGTAAATTTATCTAACATATTCAAATGGTTTAATGCCCATATTTTTCTTGACATTTTCACATTCTACCACACTGATTAGATATTCTTGCATTTTGGATATCTAATTATTTTGAAAAATTATGATTTAGTTAATACATTGTGTTTAGAACAGGTAAAAGTTCTTTCCCTGACAGATCATGATACTATGTCTGGGATCCCTGAGGCCATAGAAGCAGCTCGAAGATTTGGTATCAAGATAGTCCCAGGAGTTGAGATCAGCACAATATTCTCCCCAAGGTTTCCATTTAAGTTTTCCCATGTATGCAATCACCACTATGAATTTCTTTGACAGTTTAGTAATGCAAGTCTTGTTGAACTAATTTAAGGATCCAGATGCTAAAGCTAAACTTGTCCAATCTTTCTTATAATTGGAATTTTATGAAAATTAATCAGAGTTTTTTTTTTTCCTTGGTATTGTTTCTCTTCTTCGTCTTCTTCTCCTTTTTTTTTTTTTTTAATTTTTTGGTTCTGATTTTATTCTATGTCATTCAAACACAGAAATTCTGACTTAGAGGAACCTGTCCACATCCTTGCATATTATAGCAGTTGTGGGCCAACAAGGTATGAGGAGCTGGACAAATTTTTGGCCAGTATAAGAGAAGGGCGTTATCTTCGTGCAAAGGACATGATCTCAAAACTCAATAAGCTCAAACTACCTCTTAAATGGGAGCATGTTGCCAAGATTGCTGGCAAGGGAGTTGCTCCTGGGAGACTGCATGTTGCTCGAGCTATGCTAGAGGCAGGCTATGTAGAGAATCTGAAACAAGCTTTTTCCAGATATTTGTATGATGGTGGACCTGCTTATTCAACGTAACAGACTAATTACTAGCTTTGTATTTTGTTAATTGCAACCGATTCACATTACTTTATTTAGATATTAGAAATGAAATTTGTATTTATTTTCTGTTTTGAATCCAGGGGAAGCGAGCCTCTAGTAGAAGAAGCAGTAAAGCTTATTTGTGAAACTGGAGGTTTGGCTGTTCTGGCTCATCCTTGGGCATTAAAGAATCCAGTTCCCATCATCAGAAAGTTGAAAGATGCTGGTCTCCATGGAATGGAGGTGTACAGAAGCGATGGGAGGCTGGCAGGTATGTGCATCTCTTGAATTTTTTTTCCTGTGCATGGCCATATATATATGCTTCAGAGACGCCCCGTCACTGCCAACATATACCAGCAGTGATGTCTGCATCTACATTAGCATTCTTTTATTAAAAGTGTTCCTTTTTACATACAGTATACAGTGACTTAGCGGATACTTACGGTCTTCTCAAGCTAGGGGGATCAGATTATCATGGGAGAGGTGGGCATGGTGAGTCTGAACTTGGGAGTGTGAATCTTCCAGTTTTGGTTTTGCATGACTTCCTCAAGGTGGCTCGACCCATCTGGTGTGGTGCAATTAAGGACATCCTAGAGCTTTATATAAAGGAACCCTCTGATTCAAATCTAGCCAGGATCACAAGCTTCGGGAGGATAGGGATTTCTAAAGGAAGTTCTACCCCAAAATGTGGTAAGGACTTGATCGATCGCTCCTTATCATTGTGGCTGACAAATGAAGAAATGCAGAATGTTGATTTTGAAGCCATCAAATTGAGACTTTCCCATATATCAATCAATCTAGGTGGGGCAATAGTTCCAGTCGATGCTAAATAGTTACTGATTTTAATTGAGATAAAATCTCTACCGGTTTTAGTTCTTTCCGGCATGATCATTAGAAAAACACTCGCTATTACCATTCCTATCAAGCTCAAAGTTCAATTATCTCTTCATCTTTTTAATGAAGAGATAATTTTTAATCATTATGGAGAAAAATGCAACATGGTAGCATTTGGGGGTAGACACGAAAACAGGACATGGACTTGGATTCAATCTATATTATTGTATATCCCTTCTCCAGTAATTCATTCTAAGATGAAACCATTGCCATCTCATACTAATGTGTCTGTATGGAATGATATGATTGTTTATTTGAAACATATATGCTCTATCAAATTATAGTCATTAGATAGAAAGTAGTTTGCAGTCTGAACTGGTTAAAAGATTTTGCCAGTCCGAGCTAGAACTGAATACCTTTATTGAGGACTTAACGCTTAGGGTGTTATTGGTTAGAGGCAACTTTTTTGGAAAAGTTTTTTCCTAATATAATAGTTAAAAATTTACTATTTGAAAAGTTAAAATGTATTTTATAAAAAGTTGTTAAGTTTAATAAAGAAGTTTTTGTTAGAATTTTTGTTAGATTATTAATTTTATTATATTTGGTAATAAATTAATACAAGAAAAGTTAGTAATAAAAGTTATTAAGTGTTGTAGAGAAATTTTTTTTATAGTCTCAAATTATAAGGGTAATATTATAAATTAATATTTGATTGACATATAATGTGTCAAATTGTCTAGTAAAAAATCACAATTTGTCACAATCAAATTGTAATCAATTAATCAATTAGTATTGTCATAGTCTCAAATTTACTAATGCTAAGATCAAGTTTGAATTAAATTATACTCTTGGCCAACAATTTTTGAATTTTATTTTTGACCAACACATTGCCAAAAATATTTACGTCCACTCGAAAAGAATGTCCAAGCTTTCATCAAAGTCAACCCAAGTCAACCCACGTAACCACGTTATTTGCATAATGTCTTTTGGCTAATACAACAAAATATCAAGATTTCACCCAACATTACCACCTTTGTCATGAAAAACAGAAAATTGGTGATGATAACAATTGGTTGGAACTCATTTGCAATAGTCTCTTTTAATTAGTTACTACCACACCAGATTGAGAGTTCGATTCTCTTTTCCTCCATTTAATCAGAGGTCCATTGGCAGAACTTGAGGTTGCTGTGTCAGAACTTGATTGGTTACCTTAACGACAAAATGTTGAAAACGAAACCAAGGCTTTTCCTCTTTCACCACGGAGTATATAAATTAAGAAAAGAGCCGGGCTGGCTGGGCCATGTGTAGCATTGGGGTGCCAGACATATGATAGGTATTCTGGTCCTTTGGGTCACTCATCTGGCTCCTTG